TTTTAACAAAAGGATTTTTATCAAAAACATTATTAATGTGCACAAATAATGAATACCATACATGTGAAAGTTTTATGGGGCCTCCAAGAACTTGGGGCCCTAGCCAACTGCCTAGTTTTGCCTAATGGTAAATCCGCCCCTGACTCCAGCACAGCCAGATCAACTGAGCGGCATACTACCAAACTGGATGAAGAAGTAATTCAGTCATTTGAATTAGCTGCATTAGAGCGTGGATGCATCTAAAACCTGCAGAAGAGTAAAACTTGGGGACCAGGTTTGAAGACCCCTGATCTGAGGATTGGTATGACTGTGTGGTCTTTAAGCACAGTAATTGGAGCATTTCTGTAGTGGGATTCATGTGAATCAAGGTGCAACAATACAAAAGAGATGCTAAGCAAATTGCAAAGAAGTCTACAGGCAGCAAAAGAACATACTGTACTCCAAGAAGAGGCTGTCAGGAAAAAATAAAACAAAACAATGTTTCGAGCTAAGGTCTAACACATGAGGCAAAGAAATCTAAATCTTAAACCCTGTTAAGAGCAGCCCACAGGTGCAATTCTATAGCACTAAATTGTTATAATACAATACATTAAAAAAATTCCTTTTGCCAGTTGTTTTGCATTGCTAGCCAGTGGCTTTTAGCTGTGCTTCATTGCAACAGTTCGCTTTCTCTAGCAGCTAACTGTGACTCAATGCCTACATTAACGTACCCAAACATCCTCTTGTACATGTACCATTTGTCCATTTGTATGTTCTGTCTGGAAACTGATAGGGAATTCACAGATTGATATGAAAAATGCTGTTTTTTTATTGGTTGTTTTTATCAATATGTTGCGGGGTCCATCACATTCAAAGCTGGGAAATATGTGTTTCTGAGTATGACCAAGGTGCCATAGATGATTTTGTTAATATGGACAAAGAAAAATCTAAAAAGGCTGTGTGAGTTGGCTTAGTACGCTTAGGATTGGTGAGCGCCGGAAGTTGACTAAGTATTTTGAGAAGGCCAAAAGCATAATGCTCTATTCAATGTAACTTAAGATTGCTATAGTTTGTTTCTGCACATCCTGCACACATTAAAGAAGGTATTCTAACTGAAGCAGACCCAGTGGACCAATGACAGGAACCGGCTTTCTGTCGAGTCACTGTTCCTGTAAAATAACTTTTAAAAGACCTCTGGCAAATACTTTCTAAGCGTATTTGATAAGTAACCAAAAACTGCTCAGCCAGAAGCTAACTGTGAACGAGGAGACAAGAAGATTGAGAAAAGAGTCAGGGTAAAGAATGAAATGAACGACTAGAGTATTTACATTTTTTGATTTTTAAAACGTTTCTTAATGAGGCTGATGCTTTTTATTTTTAATCTTACCCTGAGATGAAATTTCCTCAGATCTCTGATTTTCTTTTTTACAGTATGTATTAAAAGGAAGCTTGTATTTTTAAAGGTTCATTTTATTGTGCAGAAAATGCAATATATCTATAATTATTCAATATCAGAGATTTTTAAGTCATTTTTTGTACTTTTTTATTTATAAAACTCTATCTGAAGTGTAATATTTAGCTATTACTGCTAAACACAAAGAATGCATATTTTTTATATGTTTACATTTTAAAACCTTTTTAAATGAGGAGGTCCATTAAAATGTTTAACGGCTGAGTCAAATATCATCTACTTTAAAAAAAATGTACATGACCACAATATTTAATTCCATTCAATTCAGCTTATTTATATAGTACCAATTCACAACATATGTCATCCCACGGCACTTTACAATTCAACCAGATCATAAAATCAAATTAATTAAAAGTTTTTTTACATAAGGAAAACCAGTTAATTGCTTCAACTCATTGACTCGAAAACAATCCCTCACACAAAGCATTCTTGTAGTGACAGTGGAGAGGAAAAACTCCCTTTTAACAGGAAGAAACCTCCAGCAGAACCAGGCTCAGAGTGAGCGGCCATCTGCCGAAGCCGACTGGGGTTCAAAGAGACAGAAGCAGAGATACAAAAGGCAACTGTAAACCAGCTATACAGGTGGCAAGGAAAGACACAGCCAGGCAGACAAACTCTGAGCCAGCTCCCATGTCACAGGAAGAAGAGAGCACATCCAGCCAGTCACAGTCAGAGAAAAAGGACTATACTAAAAAAAACGGGCTGAACTTGATCATCTATAAACAACAGTGTTTATAGCTGCAGCACAGCTTATATTTCTCTCCAGGATGGTGTCATAGCCTAACAGGAACAGACCAGATGGTGCTACTATGAGAAAAAGCAGAGAAAGGATAGCATTAGAGATAGAACTAACAAATTCTGCAGTGGTAGAATAGAGATAGAATGAAACAGAATGGTTAAAAAGAGGTCCCTATGTCCTCCAGCAGTCTAAGCCTATAGCAGCATAACTATAGAGATAGTTCAGAATAACCTGAGCCACTCTAACTATAAGCTTTATAAAAAAGGAAGGTTTTAAGCCTACCCTTAAAAGCAGACAGGGTTTCTGCCTCACGGACAAACTGGTAGTCGGTTCCACAGGAGAGGAGCCTGATAACTAAAAGATCTGCCTCCTATTCTTCTTCTATTAATTCTAGGAACCACTGGTTAACCTGCAGACTAAGAGCGAAGTGCTCAACCATTAACATGGTTGTGCTGCAACACTAACCAAAAGCAGTTGGCCTTGCTGTAGTGCCGTCTTTAGCTTCAGATCACATATAGCTTCACTCGTAATACTGACTTCCTTTAGCAGAAAACTCTGGCATGTTACTAACTTAAATTTCAACAGGAGGAGCTGGAAGTGCCACAATATTTATATTAGCTTTTGTTGTTGGCTGTTATACAAAAAGTTTTGGTTGTTTCTTTTCTGATTTTTGTTGCATTAAAGTTTTTAAACTTACATAGGGGGAGACTTAGACCCAGCAGCCAAAACACATCTCCTCATCATTGTTTCTAAAATAAAAAATAAACACCAATGAAATATGAATACAATCTCTGCTCTCTGAATTCACTACTTTCAGACTGAACAGACACAGGACCAGAAGAAAACAAATGGCTCTTGTTTACACTTCTAATAAGACGGCCATGTCCTGTTTTGCTGATGTCACTGTTTGTCCTACATCTGTTGCGGATGCCAGGGCTGTGCCCTTCCACACCAGAGAGCACACTCTCTATCTATCTTCCAACTATTTAATAGGCTGGCTGCCAACTCTCCCCTTAGAATACCCAACACGTCTGTCTGTCCCTGCTCCAAAAACCATTTGTTTTCTTTTATGGGACAAAGAATGTGGACGTCTGGGGTCCTGTCTGAACCTTTGGTCATTGCCTAACGCATACTTTTTTTTTTGGTTTCCCAACTGTTAAGAATTCACCTCTGATGTTCAGATGTGTGTCATTCTTCCCTACAGAAACCACCACCCCCACACAATCCCCCCCGGGAGATTTAATGGTAGCAGTAAAACCATTAGTTGCCCACCACGTTGTTATGGAAACTGGGCCGGCTTGGACTCACTGCTAACACACTTTTCATGGCCTCATGCAAGGGAGAGCTTTTGTCTGCTGTAATGCAACTCAGACATTGACAACATGTGTTAGAGTGCTGCTATCGATTGCAATGCAGCAGCAGTTTATTCAAAACTACAAAAACCCTCGACTTATGATACTTTGCTGATAATGAATCATAGGTAATAAAATGCTAACTGAGTGTTGAGGAAATCTAAAATTAGATCTTTAGAAGCATTAAAAAAGTATTTTTCATGACTGCTTTAAAAACTTATAAGATTATCCAGCTTGGTAAAATAATAAATAAACTCACCAGTCAGATCCTGACTGATGGATCCACGTTCTTATCTTTTAGTAGCTTTAGTAGCTTTTCATCAAACACAGTTTCTTGGCTCTAATTTATCAAGTCAAGGTGAATTGGACTCAGGTTTGTTTGGACAGGCGGTTTTTCATTTATACGTAAAACAGAAATTTGTAAACGGGAGGGGCTCTGTTATCAAGATTGGTCAAATAATCTAAAACAGTTAGATGAGAGAAAAAAAAAAGTTGGGCCCAGATAGCTTTTGCACTAGCACACCAACCTAATAATTGAAGTTTAAATTGAAAATAACAGCATGTGATCATTGTTGAGGTTTGCAATGAATCACTTCTAACTACTTTTGTAGGTAAGGTTAGTCCTGTAGCAGAGTTGTTGGAAGCTATGGTCTGGATCAAAGATCCTAGGTAAGGAAAGGGTTGTTATCACATCTAAAAAGCTCCTATTTGCAGTGAACTTAGAGCTACATACTGATGCAAGCTCTACACTGGTGGAAGCATCATTTTGTAAGCTACAGAATATTCTAAAACCTCAAAGTTCTGGATTATTCAGAAAACATTCTTTTGTAGTTATGGTAATCTTAGCTACAGTATCTTGTATGAGAGCCCTTAGGCAAACTCCAGCTAACTCCAGGCTTTATTTTTGAGGTAGACAATGATTTCATTACACAATCCTCTAAGATAATCATAATTTCAGTCTGGTTAAATGAAAGTCTCTCCTGTGCTGTAGACAGGGCTGCTTAGCTGCCAAAACTTTTGGCTGTGCGTGCAGAAGTCAGCAGCAGGTAAGGTGTGGGTGTGGTGCTGAAGGGATAGCGCCTTTCATTCTTGGACTGGGTGTGACTTTGAGGAACTCTCCAAGGTTCTGATCGCTTCTTGACCTTACAGGACAGGTTATGATTGGCACGTTCAGCACGGTTAGGATCGCCGCATGTCGAGGATTTAAAGAACAATCCAGTCAAATCTGATTTTCCTCTTCTTCCTGGAGCTACAGGTCATTTCATATAGAAGAAACAAAATATATCCACCTATCTAGTCTAACTGAATCGGGGTTTGTTGTTTTATTTTTTGCAAAACCTCGCTCCCCACCTTATGATGCGGTTTATTTAGACGGATGAGTAAGCAGTTCAGGATTGTTGCAGAGATCGCTTCAGCAGCTGAGGGTTTCTTTTTACCCCCTCTTTAATCACATTCTCATTTCTGCTGTGGGAGTGATTTCAGCCAGTATTAACCCTCCACGCTGTTTTCCCTTTGTCACAGTGCGACCACCTGCGCTCTGCAACCCTTAAGGCGGTGGCTGTCCAACAGAAGAAAGACAGACAAGACTGAAGAAGGAAAAAAAAAAGCGACTAGGAGCATCTAAACATGTCAACCACCGGGGAAGTGTCACCTTTTTTCCACAGTGTGGGCTCTGACAGTCCCTCCAGGCCAAGGCAGAAATTTTGTGGCGTGTTTTGCCCGGTGGAAGGCTCCTCAGAGGCGAAGACGCTGGACTTTGACGCGCTGTCAGCGTGCAGAGGCAGGAGCTCCGGAGGGAAAGTCATTGACCGGCAAAGCGACATCTCCCAGCCCAGGAAGGTGGAGATCAGGGAAAGCACGGGCAAGGAGGCGCTCCAAAACCTGGATGATAAACGGGTAATTTCCCTCTATTTTAAACCCTCATTTCCCCCATGCTAGCTCTTCCTTTCGTCTATATGATCCACTCAAATCTTGCATACAGCAATCAGTTATTTAAATACAAACGTGTGCAAATCACAGACACTCAATGGAAGAAGTTTAATAGAGTATAGTCGGTTAACTTAACCGGACTACATTTCCCAGAAAGCATCGCAATGTATCAGAGCAGAAGGCAAATAATCTCATGCAGAAGCTATAAAGGGAGTGGCTCTGTCTTTTTCACTGATGATGACATTATTTTGTAGCAAGACCATAGTGACACAATATAATGCATTAATAAATCTTTAAATAAAGAATTGATATGTACACATTTGTATCTATTTACATTAAAACATTTATAAGGAAATTGGACTAAACTTAAACTTTCCAGGCCTGTAAGCATCACCAAAATCAGTTATCTTTGCCCAACCCCTAAATAATGGGAATATATATTGAGCACATTTTGAATAATTGCACCGAAACTGCATGACTCTGATCAAATATGTGTGTCATTCTGCAAACCTTTCTGCCCTTTTCTTCTGACTGAACTGCTGTAAGAATTCTAAGCTGCATTTCTCACCCAAACGTCTTCAGATCTGGCCACAAAATGTTTTACGTGACTGACATCATGTAATGACATATTCTAATGCTGAAATCATAATAGTATTTTGACTTTGATTTCTAACTTATGTGGTGCTCTGCTTTGGGTCATGGTCATTCTATGAGACCCATTTTTGTCTAAGCTTTGGTTGATTACTTGAAAACATTACACCTAATATTATTCCCTTACGATGCTATCAATTCTGTCTATTTTACAGCAAAACATCAACACACCATTCACAGCTAGTGTTCTGTTCCCAGGCTTGTAAGCTTTTTCTTTTTCCTGCAAATATAATGGTACATCTAAATCTTAGGACACCTGTTTAGTTTCATCAGTTCACTGGAGGTGTTTCCAGAAAGGTTTCTGTCCCTGAATGCATCTACAAACTGTACACTGCTATTTTTCACAAGGTGTATATTTCTTCTGGTATGTATGCACACATTTTTTGCACCAGAGAACATTAATCTCTGAGACACAGAACTGATTAATTCCCGAAAAGTGTGATTGCTGGACGTTTCTGTTGTGTTTATATTTGTAATATAATTATTTAAAAATATCAATGTGGCTCCTTCAGATGAACCAGTTTTGTGGAAATCCATATTTCTCTACTTTTGACGTCTTGATGATACTGTCTTTTTTAGGTTTTTTAAAATACATCCACTGGAGTGCGTCTATTTAATGCAAATGTTGGGAAATATATATCAGAAGAAGCTAAAAAATCTATCATGTAACCATCTGGGAAAATGTGTTAAAGCCAGAACAATCTTACATTATTATTACTATTATTATTATCATTGTCATCATCATTAAGACGTTTTTAAAAAATAAAAATGTGTAAACCTTACTGTATTTTGGAATTAAGATATAGAAAGTCTTAAAACATACATTTTAATTATATATGTTATGTTTATTGAATTTATTAGAGTGAATGAATAGTTTTGGTCCTAGGTAAGGATACTAATGCTGATAATAGCAATAATGAAACATGAACCTGCAGTTTCTCAATGTAGACAAACAATGATCTGTTTAGCAGCTTCTTGGTTCTCATTTTAAGGGTTTGGGTTGGCTTCAGAAAAAAACAGCTTCTACTTCCAGTTCTTAAAAGCTTTGGGTGGGGAGGGTAAATCATTGTATCATGTTACATATTGATCTATAGCATTAAAGCAGCCAAGCCTTCTTCATCCTTATACATACTTAAGAAATACATCCATGATCACTGGCCTTTCACTTTAGTGAAATAATATACATGTAATTATAGTTTTCTAAAGTGCATTTTGCTTATACTACTAATATGTGAGTTGCATGTAATAATTCTGATGGGCTGTTAAAAATCATTCAGGTTGTATTGGTGGAGGCTATTTGTTTAGGTTCCTGTTGGGAATAGAATCTCTGAGCAGACATTGTTAGAATGCTAGTTAGTCTTTTCATCCATGAGTTTAGCACAGTGTGATGGAGATGAAGTGGTAATATTTTCCGGAATGCCTTGAACTTAGTTACAAGAATGATTTAGAAACACAAACCAGTAATATTGAGCATGTAAATGAGGTGAAGCTGTCATATTTGCAATGAACAGCAGGGGGCGTACCGACAAACACCGTCAGGCAGTCATTAACGCACCTCACAGTCTGTATAAACTAAGTAAAGGATAGTAGAGCCTGCTGTCTGTCTGTCTATATATTTTCTATTGGTAATTGATAGAGTAACTTTGATCAACAAAACTACATTTATAAAAACATATTTATACTGTAATTGGATTTATAATACTGTATTCGTATGAATTAGAATAGATTAGAATAGAAAATCTTTTATTGTCCCATAATGGGGAAGGTGTGGTAATTTGATTATATACTGTCAATGACGGAATACATTTTTTTCTAATAGTTTTATTTAGTTGGTTTTTCATTTTTATTTTAACATCTAGATAATATCTATGTAGACTATATATTTTATTAAAATACATTTTTTAAAGGTACTCATTCATCTTTCTCTTTGTTTATTTGTTTGTATTTAGAAAGTGTATCATCCTGCGTACAATAACTTATTTATAATTAGTGAAATATATATGAAGGGAACATATGTGGGTTTTCCTATCAGACCGTCTCCATAGCATGATATAAGAGGAAGACAATGATTGGACGGATGGATAGAGAGATGATGATGATGATCATCATCTAAATTTTTTCTTTTTACAGAAAACCCCAAATTAACTTCCATGAAGTGTTTACTCTACATGCAAATTCAAAATTGTGCCTTTATCTTCAGAAACAAATACTGGGAAAGTTGTCAGTTAATTTCCAGGTTGATCTCACCCTAGGTTGGTTTGCCCCTGGGCAAGGCACTGAACCCTAATGCTTGTATGAATGTTAGTATTACTGGAAAAAAAGAGACTCTAGTGATAAAAAGCAGTTGGTAGGTTTAGGAAAGCAGTATACCAATTAACTATTTACCTATAGTAGATCTTGATATATAAAAGTGCAGCAGAATATCTCATCACAACATCAGTTTTATCAAACATTCTGTTCGAAAAGCAATATTTGTAGGTGATCATGAATAAACTCTGCATATTCATAAGATAATCAGGTTGTTTCAGCAGATGGACACACTAGACAGAGATGATCGAGAGGTTAAAGGTCACAGGAGAGTTGGAAGGAATGACATCACACCTGGTTTGATGATGCAGCCTCCGTCAAATCAAATATGATGTGACCATGTTTGTTAACTAAATAAATAATCAAATATGTTTTAGCAAAGACTAAATTTAGCCTTTTGACACAGTCATGGCTGATCAAAAAGGAGATTTTAAAACGGTTTTCTTCCCTCCTTGCTTGAACTCCAACTTCCAATTCAATATTTATTCAAATTAAAATGAAAACTGATTCCAATCAAGGCCTCTGAAGGCTCCTGTTTCCTTAGCCCCAACAGTTTCCATTGTCGTTTCCTAGGTTTCATTCTGCCTGGAAACTGACAACAATCTATGATGGAGCAAAATTCTCAGTTTTTGGAGCTCAGAGAGTAAAAAGAGCCTGGATATAAGATGGCTGCTGGGCGTTTCTTCCTGGGAATGTTTGCAGCCTCTCCCCCTCTCCATCCTAATCCATGAAGGGAATTGATGGCATTAGTGCTGCTCGCCTGTCAATGGAGCAGGGCGAGGCTCTGCGCATGCTCGGTGCGGACCTTTCCAGGGGAAGAGGCTGTGTAGGCTGCGCCTCCTTTCTGTTCTCGTCTGATTTCGTCTTGGGAAGGAAAAGATTTCGGCGCGCCGGCGGAGAGCAGGGAGGCTGTCAGGATCCGGGTTAGAAGTTCAGGCAGTTTGGATCTTCCAGGTTTGGTTCCCCTGAGGGTTTCAGCTCCGTTGTTCTCCCCTTTAAGAACCGGCTTGAGTCTGCATACTAATCCGCACTCCACCGTCCAAAGGCGCAGCGCAAAAGAACCCAAACACCGGTGAAGATGTCTGGATACCAGGGCAAGAAGAACATCCCCCGCATCACAGTGAGTGTCCGGCTGCGTGTTTGCAGACCGAGCCCTCTGAGGGTAAATCCGGCTGGTGGATTTTAGGTTTTACTGGTGTGGGCCTGCGGGCGTGGACTCAGGATGTCACCGGCGTGGGTTTGGTTCCCCGCGCCGCTGCGCTCCGACACAAATCTAAGCTCAAAGATGCAGGAATTTCATCTCTTTATAGCATTTTTTCTTCTTACTTTAAAAATCTGCATCTCTCTCTCTCAGATCAAGAATGCGTCCAGAGAGCAGAGGTGACTGCAAATGTCCTGGTTTCTGCAGCATCTTTGCGGCAAGTGCGCACATGTCTGCATAACCCTCAGCTTCTACTCCTCTGGGTTTAGATTCCCTTTTTGTGCACAAGTCTTTGTCTCTTGTGGTATGCATGCCAGTGGTGATTTCACGCCGGTGGTCTTTGTTAGGCGGGTGTCCCTGCACGACAACTGGTGGGAGCAAATGCGTCCCCTCCTCAAACTCTCTTTTTTTTTTATTTATTTCTCCTTTAGGACAGTCATCTTCTCTACTTCTGGTCTATTTTTAGAAGGCATTAACTGTGCTACTGTGGAAGCTGATTATTTCACTGAATTCATTGCAGAACAGGGATGATGATGGTGGTGATTTCAATGGAAAGTGGAGAACAGGGAGGGGAGGCAGGGCAGAGAAGGGAAGGGAGGGGACAGAGGGTCCTATTTCCTTCTATGCTCTTTCAGCTGTGCAGTGAGGGGAGGATGCATGTTGGCAGAGCAGGGAGGAGGCCACTGTCTATATAGCCCTATAGTGGATTTCATACAGCACAAAAAGTGCAACATCAGGACCCTGCTACTGCTTTAGAGGTGGTACTTTATGGCCTGACTCAAACTGACTGCAGAGGCATCAATAAAAT